GGTTCAAATAAAGAGTTCCGTGGTCTCATTTTAAATGTTTTTTCTGTGTACTAAGAAACTAGGGATAGAAACTAACAAGAAATAGCAACTTTCATATCAAGGCTTTGAAGTGTGCAAACAGCACTGCATTCAATTATCGATTTATTCCCAAAAGCTTTGCAATTTGAGCCGGACTTTAATGCGAATATTGGAGCTAATTACTCCAAAGCTTCAAATCCCTCAAACTACTACATCTGAAGTTTGCACCCCTAAGCATTAGGCAGAACTTATCGCCCGATAAGTTGAAGCTTTAGGCTTGAAATTTGCTGACGAATTAAAGCATAAAAAACTTCAGCTGGATTTTAGTATTGAAGCACTTTATATAGATGGTATGTTGGAACTTTCAGTCAAAAGTTTTATTAATTCAATATACGTTCGGAAATGGCCATATAAAATCTAACGTGGTTTTTAATCCTCTTTCGAACGGTAGGAAGTTGATCGCTATAGTCCATGCCGGTCTTGAGATATGGCAAAAAAAGTGGCACCATGTTAAAGCCGCTTTGCCCAACTTGGGCGAAACCGCCTATAAAAACAATCTGGAAATTGCGCTCTTTCATGTGAAAACTGCCAATATTTTTAAACAGTTTCCTGGTGCCTTTTGCCTGTCAAACTCTTCATTTTGAACCCAACAGCATAGTCCATTAATTTTATTTCAGTTAAGATGGTTTTTGCTTCGGGTTCCTTCTTTTCCTTCAGCTTTCGAATTTTCATTGTTCTTATTTAGATCATTAAAACATGTCTTCCATTCTTCAGGAAATGGCTTTTTATTTCTTCTTTGTGAGTTTCCTTTTATTTTCAATCATCTTATTTAAACATACACTGGTCAATATAAAATTAAAAATTATCCGCCTGATCCGCTTTGAAACATGTCATATTTTAAACATGTGAACAAGAAATGTCCTGTAAAATGTCCAAAAGACATTTTAATTAGTGCTACAAATTTTAGATTCACTTGTTGCAAAAATTACCTTAAATTGAAAGAAACCAAAGGTGTCATGTAAAAGTTTCAACACATAAAGACAGTTGAATCTAAAATCGATAGAAACTTGATTAATGCCAATAGAAGGAAGTCGAATAACATGTGCATCAGCTCCACTCTTTGTTAGAAAAAATGAATCGCTTGGACGTGCTTCAAAGGCAGAACTACCAGGGATTAATCAATTGCATTGTTGACCTCTCAGTGGTTGAACCAAAGGTGTGCTTTTCGTTAGATGATCCAGTAGTAAGAATTTCAGTGTTGCAGCAAATTAGTACAAAAAATAATCGGCTTCAAAAAAAAATGAAAAAAATATATGTGTATGCTGGACTGTATCGTACGAAAACAGAAGAATGAAATATTCATTTATTCATAATTTAAACCCGAGACCACATTATCTACATTATCCATCCACATTCCATATAATATAAAACGGACTAAAACGGTTTCGTTGTTGTTGACAACTTAAAACAAGCAACGCTCTGGGCGAGGTTTAACGAAATAATTTTTGTTTTTAATTAAGGAGAAATTAAATCGTTCGCACCTACAAGCGCGCTCCGATAAAATGTTTTGATGAGTTTCCCGAAAACTTCATTAGGTGTAACCGGTGAAGCAATTTACGGAAGAAATCCCGGTTCCGAAATTACGGAATGCCATAGGGTATTAATTACTTTTTCATAGTTCGATACAACGGCATCTTTAATTGAGAGGTAGGAAGCGCGTTTTCGAAGTAATCGCAAAACAATCCCCGCTCGTTCTTCTTTAGCCAATTTACGAGTTGAAATTAACGTATTACGGAAAATGTGAAACCGGGATTCGGCATTAAATTGAAAACGTTTCGGAAAATTACAATTGGACCACGGTGTCGTAGATTAGTTACAAATAAAAATTTAGTTCAAATTTGATTGCAGGCGAAAAATTCTAAACATTACATCACTCTTTTGAGGGAATAATTTGAGCTCCCATATTATTATTTGTTTCTTTCTTGAAAAAATCCACTCTTTCATCAAATTAATTTCAAACAATGACCTAACTTTATTCAAACTTGCTCAAGATTCAAATTTTGCCATTTATATTTTTTGATTAGCACACACAAGTTATTGTCTCTTTTGAACAAACAGAGAAAACTACAATGGATGTGACAATTAACAAGAAATAAATAAGTCAAAGCGGAAATGTAACAAAAATTTCTTCGGAGGGAAAAAACATCCCCAACTTCAAGCAAGAAACAGGAATAACACTATGACCTCCTCTAACCGAGGATTACATAATTTAGTTGTAATCGTAATAATGAAACGTTTTAGTTTCCTCCTAAGAGCCTTTTCCACCGTTATGTTTCTTAAGATGGTATTCAACTGATTGCATTATTTAAGTTCCAAGTAGCAAAAGCTCGTTTCAGCTACGTTTACCCTAATTCCTGCACTAGATATTTTAAATCTACTAAATTGAGTCTTTAGAAAGGAAACAAGTCAGCACATGTAAGATGCATACAAGAAAACATAAAATAGGTAAGTTGAGAAAATGTCAATGAGGCTCGAGGACAAGCAGTTAATGACAACAAGTCCACCAAAAGGAAGGTTACCAAAAAGGATTAATGCAATGCCATTTACAAAGACAACTAAACACTTTGATGTAGATATGATTTATTTTGAGACTGTTGTCTTCATTATACCGTCAAAGTGTTTTAAACAGGTTGTATTCATGTAATGGGCGACACAGTGGTAACTTTATTTATGAGGGAAAATGCGATATTCACCACTATACCACATATTCAATTAGTAATAAGCCGAAAATAGAATATATTTACGTAATAGGACTTTTACAATTTGCATTTTTATTTCGATATACTGCGCCGTCTATTTTTAAGGTTCACTATAAGGGAGCTATTACGGGTTTCATTTATTTATTCCTCATTTTATTGCAACTGCAAAATCATTTTACCGGCTGCCTGCATGAAGGCAATTAGTAATTAATTTGCCTATAATGAACATGAAATGTCCAAACTTTCAAAAAGTGTATATATTTTCCATACAATGCGAACCAGTTCATAATAGCCCCCAGTATTTTTATTTGATATTTGGTTGTGCATGTTTTATATATTTTTGAAACCCTCTTATTCTAAACTTAAAAAATGTTTTTTTAAGAAATATTTTTTAACAGTCTACAATTTTTATTACTTACGAACTTAAACGGCAAGTGTCCGTTCAATTGATTTTCAATGAAGGCTTAGAACTTTTACATTTCCATACTTTTGTTCTCGATGAGGAGTAATAAAAAATATTCCAAGATTCTTGATGAGGATATTCAAAGCCAAAACCGAGAACAATTCAAGTCGTTAAAAGAACGTAATAAAGTGTAAATTATCTTCATAAAACTAGGAAAAGTTAATTAATAAAGTCCAATACTTAAAAAAACTTCCCAGGAAAAAAATGCAAAATTAAATTCAATTTGAACATGAACTGAACTCTTTAAAATCTGCACATTGTATTGAGATGCATAGGTACACATGACAAATAATCCTTTTCTTCCGCATAACTTCCCATTTCCATGCACATGCATTGTAAAGTCTACGTGTGTTATTACTTTCAACTCAACCATTCGCAACTTCCTTGAAAGCAAAAACCACCATTTCCGTGAAACTTAACGTGGCTTGTTGGCCTTTAAAGTTTAGCCGCATTTTTTGCCTCTATTCGCGTTTAGAGCTAGAGGCTTTATCGATTTCCAAACGTCGAGTAAGGGATAGCAATTTATTCGGAATACAATAGCAGATTATGTGTTTCCAATTTAGGAAACGTTAGAGAACAGGGGATTAACGGATTCGGATAATACAACTAACTCATGTCTACTGTGTCAGATCGTTTATTATCGAAATTGGGTAAAGCGCGGTAGGATTTTGAGCGTAGTGTTGGTGTTTTTGCGTTTGTTTGAAGGAGAGAAAGTGCTCTAAATCAGAGGGGCCAACGGTGGTTAAATTGAAAAAGTAGAAAAAGCCTTGATTACATGGAGGAAATATTAAAGCAACCAGACATTATTGAGAGACTCCCCAATTTTCAATTATATTTTAAATTAAATTCTTGTCGACTACTTCCAATCTTTTAAGTTAACCAGAATTTTTCAGACTCTCAATCATTTATGGTCGCCGCTTTTGAACAGCAGATCGATTAAATAGTTTAAATTCTAGATTTTTCAGAACCCATCGATCCTAAAACAGATTTTATGCAAATTTAAATAAATACTTTTTATTTCTGAAAAAAATGTTTTAAAAATATCTCAGCGATACTTTAGAAACTGTCCAAGGACGACAAATTTTGATTTAATTGTCAAGTGTTTGATTTAACATGTTTTCTCTGTTTTTAATCATTAATAGTCAGGTTTTTTTATGTTTTGAAGGTAAGAAAAAATTGTCCAAATTTCCGTCTAATTTTCTTTGAAGGATTTTTATGTTAAGCCATAGTTCCAAATATTGTCTTGTGTGAGCATTAAAAAACTCGACTTTCCTCAGGCACGAAATTACAAAATTCCATCTTCTTCAGACTTTTAATCATGTATATGACTGGGCGAATTCTTGAGTAGTCGATATGCCCACGTCTATGTTACAAAGACATGTAAGCTCATCATTTCTTTATGAAGCATTTTGGTTGACAACAAGCGAAATTTTTGCTTTCCTCACAGCTAGACTTTTACAGTATTAACTGCACTTAGTGCATTTACAGTACATTACAAATGACATTACTTCTTACTTACAGTGCAAAATTACAATTAACAGTTACAAATTACAATTAACATTACTTCTTACTTACAGTGCATTTTTTCTCAATTAGCAAACAGCGAAWGTAAAKTAAACGAACGTTGGATCATCGGTTACCAATGTCCAAAACTGTCCTCTGATTTGATAGTTATTTCTTTAATTAGTCCTAMGCTCCACAGGAATAAATGAACAGCAACTTCAGTYGCTTGTAGCAATTCCAGTTTTAAGTTTTCTTACCTGTTTTCGATGATAGGGTGGTAAGCAAAGGCCCTAAAGTAGATGTGGTTTCCGAAGTAATCAAATCGCAGCATTCTCGTTCAGGAAATTCGCTGCATGCTACCCAGCCAGTTATGGCCAGCAGCCACAATATTGTCCCGACACAAAACATACCCATCCAGATTTTTTAAATGTAATTCACATTTCTTGCAAAAACTCTTGCTTTGAACCAAAACTTCTAGGCTAAGAAAAACAGTTCGTTTATCATCTGTAGAACTTACAGATTCTAATCTCGGTTTTTTGGGCAAACACTTTCTATCTCAGGGTAGATGGTTAGCTGTTGTTTATTATAAAATTTTAAAATCCTGAAATTGTCGATTTTTCCTTCTACGTATAGATTTTAATAACTATTTTATAGAAGTTTTATAAAAACCAGCAAGTATTTTATGTTCAGTTTAGGGTCCAAAAGTTTTGCTAGGGATCTATTACAAAATAATCGATTTTATAGAAACATAAAAATATTTGCAAACATCTGTTTCGCCCGGCAAAATATTTTATGAACTTTTGAAAAAATTTGCAAAATTGTACTTTTAAACCCAGTTCTCAAACTCACTTGAAAGAAGTGAGTTTCATGACATTTCCTAACCTGGTTATAATTTCTGTGATTATTTTTGTCCAATGTTTTCTAAAATTTTTTTGCGTCTACAAAAAAGCGTTCAAGTGATTTGCAATTTCTACTCTCCACTAGAAGTTTGAGATTGTCAATTTTTAGTTTCCTGTTTAGAGAAACTTACCTACATTTCACTAATTTGATTGCCTTGGACAGAGTAGCCAGAGGAATAAATGATAGATGAGCATTTTGAAGGTGAAGTTTTTTTAGTGCCCAAACGCCCAGAACTATATTTCTTGACGTAAACGTTATTTATACTAATTCCGATTAAAATATTGCTATTTGCTCCATCCTATTTTCACATGTCTTGTTTTATATCTAATTTTCCATCCTAAAATAAATGCAGATTAAGAACAAAATTCTCACCTACTCGAACTTAATTCAAGATCTGAAACATTCCTCAATGTGTTTGTACATGAGGTCAATGTTGCGTCTAAATCTTGAACTTAAAGAATCAATAGTAATTTATTGTTCTATCTTTTGCAAGTTCTTTATATGTACTTAGGTCAAGCTATAATAGTATCACGGCATGAGATCGATAATCCTAATGGCAGATACCATGCCGAAACAGAATGAAAGGAAATAGACGATAACGAAGGGTCTTTACATGCATATTGTATCACTCGTGGTATAAAAGGCATCTAAACCGCCTATAAACAGCTGTGCGAGTCGATGAAAGAAACTGATAGGGATTTTTAACATATGCAATTGGGTTCTTGCTTCGTTTGCAGTTGTCCCATTTTTGTCTGTTTCGTCCTTTTGGACGAAATAGACTCTAATAGTTTTCTATTAATTCACCACTTCAATGACTTAAATCTAGTAAAAGACCTATAGAAATGTAAGTAGCGAAGACCTTGATACTTGAGACTGATAAAACTAAGTGGCATCACAGATTTCACATTTCAGTTAGAGTGATAACAATGAACATTTTCACTGAAAATCGTTTTACTTGAAAGCGGAAACTAAGATTCTTAATAGCGACTCTTTTAACACCTTAATTGAATAATCTCTTGCGGCTTTTAGTGTTCGCGAAAATTTAATAAGGATGAGATTAACTAGTTTTCAGCTAAAACTACACAAATTATAGTTGCATGAAGTGAATTTTACTTTTTTTACTAACTAACAATAGAACTGAAAAATACTTAGTGAGTTATACATATTTTTTTGTTTTCTCAATACTGAATTTTGCATCTACTGAATTCAACTTCATGCCTTTAGGAAATTTTAGGCAACCTTGGTTGAGTGTAATCTGAGATTAAAAGCTTAAAATTGTATCTTCAATTAGCGCTTTACCTCGCATTATTCACATAAAGAGCTCATTTCATCAAATCCACCATTCAAATTAATTTTTCTATATCCATAGTGGCTGTTAAATTGTGAATTTCCGCCGCATTGATGAGTTTATCAAAGTCTGTAAATAGTCCAATTTATTGAACTATAATACAATTGAATATGAACTGATACTTATTTGCTGTGAATTTTGTTGAATTTTACTTCCGTTTTTTGATAGTGAACAGTTGCTTTCATCTTAATATAAAAATCTCGGCTCAACTACTGAAAAATAAAAAGAAAAAGTAGTTAAAAATATAGATTTAGCTATTGAAAAACTTTAGAAGTAGTTAAAAATCGCAATTGGACTATTGAAAAATTTTGTATATTACAATAAACAGTATATAACGAACACGAGAAAAGGTAATAGAAACGCTTGATTAGGTAAAATAAGGTGCAATTTTGCAACAAGCTTTTTGCAAAAATGCTGATTAAACACTATTATATTTTCATGCATGCCAATAAATAAAACTGAGCATATTATAGCTCTTATTTTTGCATATTAACTATGCAAAAATAAGAACTTCGTATGGTGAAAATACAGGAACGCTGCGCCTCTGCACAATGAATAACAATAAAGTCTCGCTAACGAGTCGGGTTACGAAAGGCGAGAATATAAAAAGCCAGCCCCTCTTCAAAAGATAAATAACCTGTTGCTTAATAAAATATAAAACCTCAGATACCCTTAAATTTACTATTAAACTTGTGTAACTTTATATTAATCCTCAAGAAGTTTTACTCTGGAAACTTTATGAGCACGAACCTAAAATAATGGAAACCTTTTTGTTTTGTTATATATTGGGGGAGAACTTTAATCGCTCAGAGCAGCTTTTATCGAAGGGAATATATACGGCTATAATTACAACATACCCAGTTGTGTACTCTTAGGGTTTATCGTATTCTAGATCGATAAATCAGCGGAGTGGTTTTGTAAGATTTGTTTAGACATATTTATTATCTTCGGAGTTTTCCCATTAAACTTTTGTTGATTATTTCGTCGAAATATGTGCGGATGTTCTCGCAAGAGTTTTAATGTACACTAGACGAAAAACGATCTACTTGCAAACAAACCTCAAAAAATTAATCCTGGATTAATAGAAGTTCGATTCTTTTAGATTAATTAGTGGATAAAAACTCCGAAACCGGCCAGATGATAGGGATAATTTGTTACAGAGAAAAGTATTTCCAAAGTCGGAATTTCCTCCCATTTTTCACACATGATCAATATAGTTACAAATGAAAAAATGCGTATTACACATTGCTATTAAAGAAAATTCTAATGTTATTTGAGACGCACGCTTTACATAAATTTTCCTGGCATTTAGCAGTAACCTTATATCAAAGTATAAGTGCAAATTTAATTTTATTATTCTCTGGCTGATGAATAATTTAAATAGTAAAGGTCTTAATTAAGCGCGAAACAAGTTAACAGTATAAATAAAATCGAGCAAACTCCGTTTTAATCCTAAGATCTTATCTTCAACTATCGTAATCAAACTATTCAGGGAAAGTTCTTGTGCACTCAAAACATCTATCATTAATTTACAATTAATAGCCAAATATGCCATTTATATTTTAAGTCAATTTGATAGCTGCATTTACGAACAATGTGGTTTAATCCTGCATTAATATTATTATTTAGTTTCAATTCGAATTTCCCTTTGTTCATTTGGCAAACATCAAAACATAATTAGGCTGAAAATAGGTACACTTTAAAGCGGATTATCACATTTTAAGGCTAATGGATAATTAATTAGTATTGCAAATTTCAATTATGAAAAACTGGGTCAATTTTCTATTTCAGTTATAATTTTATCCAAATAATATAATCTATGAATTAACCAAAACGTTTGAAACGTGTCAAGGACATTCCATATGTAAAATTTATGTTATGTTTTACTCTATCAATTTCCATCTAGTCTTTTCCAATTTTTGGGTTTTTGAAATCCAAAGAGTAATTTGGAATAACAAGTTCTTAACAAAACTAATCAAATCTTGCAAACAATCCGTTGATTATTTAGTACTTTTTGCAATGTGGCTATTTAAAAATACACCAGCACAATGTTCCAAGCCATTGTACTTTTTATATTAATCATATTCCACTCGAAATTTAAATATTTATAGACCATGCAGTTAGGGCTGACGTCAGGTGGTCTTTTTTTAACCACACCGAATTGATAAATAGCATTTAACAAGAACTTGCTTGTTTACCATTATTGGTTTGTTGGTTTAATAATGCGCCCCCATTGCATGCTTTAAGTCAATTCCAAAGGCATTATGAAAATATACTTTAATATATTTTGCATGTGATTGATTATGTACGGCGCACACGTACTCCATTGAATTAGTTCCCCGGTGCGGTCTGGATTCAGTAACAAACAACAAAGTTTCCTAAATAGTATAAAATTAAAGTTTTCGCAAATAATGGCGAACATTGATTCTGGAAGAGTTTCGAAGCGTTTTTCCCGGTTAGCTTGCACCCGAACTGCTCAATAGTGAATATTGATTTTATTCGAATGTAGAATTCAAAGTCGATTGATGGAGTGCATGTATGGTTTCCGGGAACTTCAACTGCAATAAGAATAACATCAAAGATTTTCCCCGGTTCTAGATGATTTTAAAATTTCCTCTCTACATTGCTATTTTGTCAAATACATCAATTCCATAGTGTCAAGGAACTCCGTTCGATACAATCAAAGTTTCCCTCCGAATAAATTTGCTGATGGGAATAAAGCMTCTTACGAAAGTCTAGAGTGGTCTTCCAGAAACAAACTAAGTTTTTCAATTCCAAGAAAAGGTTTCTTYATGAAACGTGATAAACCTGCATTTGAATGGTAATGCGGCCCAGCTGTGTTAAAGTGAAAACAAGTTCGAAATTTACAAGGAATCTGGGGCATGTAGGATACATAACACTAATAATTATTTGGGAAAATTAATGCGTTTAGAGTGGTGCTATTTTCATTTGCTCATATCAAACCCAGGGCTAAAATGATTAATATATTTTATTGCCTCAGTGAATTTAATGTATCACTTTGTTTCCTCGCCTATGAGTTAATAACTTTGCTACAACATGACTAGTAGGAAAGCAAATAATCAGGGAAAAGCAGATAAAAATTAATTATTGAGAATTTKTTGGTTTTCATTACGTTTGGTGCCCAGTTGCTTGCTAATRACTGTTTTTAGAATCYCTCAATCAGAAATTTTATTTTGAATAATTCTATGRAMAAAATGTACTTTAGATGTATCAAAATMTGCATACATTTGCTAGAGCTTCTCAAAAGCTTTGCGAAAAACTCAAACCAGTCAAAGAACGGATTCAAATGGAAAAGAAGCAGAGTATAATAATAYGTTAATTTTAACTACAGAAGCAACTCATTATGCTAACGATTGCAAAAGTTTGAACAACACTAAAATAGCACTGTTTTAATTGCGCGTTATGAACATTAGTGGCAGTTAGAAACGTTAAGTCTTGAAAAAGTCTCATCTAAAACTTGGTCTGTTTTTTAATTAAGGCATGTTTATTCAATAGTTGGAAAACAACATCGAATTAG